GGAAAGAGGGGAAATGGTGCGCGTGCTGTGTGAAATTGCGCCGTTACATCGCAAGCAAACCGCGGGTACCACAATGTCTCGCAACTGGGTCACCAAAAGGATTAAGTCGTGAGGATTTTGCGTCCGCTCCAACGACGTCGATCCGTTTTCTTTTCGTCATGTCCTTTCTCCGACATTTCCCGTGGTCTCTATCGTCGCCTGTCGACTGTGAAAACTTTCGATTACGCCCGCAAAACCCGATCCTCCGGAGCACTAGTCAGAACGCGCTGGCGCGCCATGGCGTTGAACGCGCGAGCGCGCGCGCGCGCGCCGTCCAGTCAGCTGACGAACTTTTAACGAGGGAAATGGAAGCTCGGATTTAACCGACTCGCAAAACACGGCAAACGTTACCCGATCGTAGCCTATATGGTAGTAATTGCAGTAATTATAGCAAGCGCGACTAATCGCTATACACGTAGCAATTATTTCTACGTTTTCTGACGGTCGCGTCCAGCTCGGGACACTCGGCTCTGCTACCGATCTCCATTAGTGTCGCTTAATTGGACGGCCGAATCGGGCGATTGTTTTTGAGTACCCTTCGTTTTCGTGCAAATCTAACTACGCTGCCGTTACGTGCACCGACGGCGGTCGTGGAACGGATAATTATTAATTACAGGATAATTTGTATTCCCCGAGTCAGAACGGCTTCTATGAAAAATTCCTGCAATCTCTTTCACGTGTAATACGTTTTCTACCTGCTCGCGAGTAGCCACGATGATTATCATTTCGCGCGAGAACGATCCGATTCTAATACCGGTATTGTCGACTAGTAACGAGTAGTTGAATATTTTATATCGGAATAATGGTAACGGTATCGAGAGAAAATAATTAGCTTGAACGATTTTCGAACGTTGCTTCTCGATCGTGCCAATAAATAGTCGACGAATCTTCGGATCGTATCGACTGGCTAATAGATCGCGACGCGGTAGGCAACTAGATGCTTCAACAATCGAATACACACGTACACGCCACAGTGTGTACACCACTGAAATCGAAACGTGGTTATGCAATACAGAGAGACCACAGGGAAATACGGTTCGACGTAACGCGATTTTACGAATCCCGACGAGATTTGTTCCGTTGTCGGGCATGTCCGATATTTGCATACAACAACCGATTGTTCGCGGTGAATTAAACTTTCCAGCTGAATTCATTAACCAGACAGCAGATTTTCTCTTCGAGTATCCGACTATTCGAACGTGCCGAATTCAGACACGTACACACGCACCGGCACTCGTTATTAATCGGCCATTGCTCGATCGCGAAAATTGGACCAAACTGTTCCACCGATTCCTCAAAAACGATCGTTCCTTTATCTCCGAACGCGTTGAAGCTTTGCGTATCACGATTATCTGCGAAAGAACAGGACGATCGCTGGCGAATCGGTTGATCGAAAATTCGCCAACTTTTTCCTCCGTTTGCTCTCTTTCTCCACGTCCACAGTCCAGTCAGTCGCTGGCATTGCCATTAGAAATGGGTTTTCAGGATGGCATGGTGCCAGTGCATATAACAGTTTATCGCAGACTGGTCGAACAAGTTGTTCACCTACATATAACAACGTTCACTGACTGTGCCGCGCTCGCGCGCGATTATCGTGATCGTGATCGTGCCCCGCTGAAATTCTCGAAACGAGCATCGGTAAATTGGCCTGGCCGGTGGTTGAACCTTGGTCTCTCGATCGGGCCCACGAGGAACCAGCCTTCCGCCTCCGTCGTTCCCGCTCTTTCTCCTTCCTCTTGCTCTTCCAACCGTTTCCATCCAGCCGCAGCCTCGCGTCCTTAACGGTTTAAACGAGAAAATGCGAGGCCTGTTCCGTGAATGAAACACGTCGGCGGTCTTGACGAGAGTTAGAGGAGTCAGTGGTTCATTGTGAACCGGTCTAATGAATGAGTCGGCATTGGCGGCTGGTGAGTTAATTTAGAAAAATCAACCGGACGATCGGATCGAAATCTCTTAGAGCTACGGAGGAGGAAGATGAACGGGATCTAGGCGGAGTTCTTTCTACCTCGTTAGCCTTCTAATTCCATTTCGCTAGCGATTTCTTTCGTGATTGATCGTTCGACTGGCAAGAGTCCAGGATATTCTACCGTATCGCGAGTATTCGGATCGGTTTAAAAATATTGGCACTCTCCTACGCGGAATTCTCTCATCGGGATCCCAAACATTCCGTAACTATCGTCGAAATACGAGTCTATCGCGAGAAGTCCCTCGACATGGAATGGCTCCGCGGAATTCCTCGGTCTAACGGTTGTCCACGGAAAGGAGAGATTCGTAACGCATAAATCGGCTGAATCGCTCATGCCCTGAATCGCATCGGCGATCTTCCAGTCCCCGCCAAATTTCTAAAACCGACTGCGTCACAGCGCCGAGCATATTCCGAATGCAAATTAAAATGTATAAACTGTAACCGTGTCACTGGCTGCTCGGTCGAACCGGTCTCGAGACCCGGTACGAAACAGTTCTCCTTCGATTCGGTCGTTGGTCCAGCGTTATCGTGACGAATCGCGGAGATGGAAGAAAGCGCGCGCGCGTTTCACCAGCGGAAACGGTAACCGGCGGAAGGACGACGAAGGAAACGGTCGGGGCAAGATGGCTCGGTAGAAATCGCGGCTGGGCGATCGGACGACTTTTGTCCTGACGTTCGATCGCTTCCCTGGCCCCCACGGATTCCGTTATCTAGGTTGAATCGTTCGTGGTCCGAACGATTTGTTGCGGTGATTCGTGACGTGTACGTCTGGGCTCGCAATCACCGGTGAAACCAGCGACACCGACGTAGCCGCGGGTACGTCACGCGTGCGTTCCGTGCGATCCTGGAACTCCGTTGAAGAAAATTGATTCTAATGGATTCGAAATTGCACCCGTTCCATCTCGTGCGCGGCTCGTCTGGAACGGCGGATTGATTTTACGGTTCGCCTTTGCCGTTTGCCCACGAGCACGAGCCTCCGACCTGATAGATGGGATAATTTATAGCCAACGTTTGTTTTTCCCGTACTTGTCGGATCATTGCCTGGTTATAGGATCACCGTCCGAGTAGAGAGTTCGACGAAAACTGCGTTACGTGGGTACTTTGCGATTTAGCAGCCGGTTTCGTTCGGTGGTGAACATTCTGGCTCTCCTATTTGACAGATCACTGGCTTCGCTAATCGACCACCTCACCTCGTTGATTCCTTTTCCCCGTTAAAACTGGAATTACGAAATCGTTAGGCATAAGTACGCGGCAGTTGGTCCAACTTTGATTACGTATATATTCGCCAATTAAGATGGAAGATGTGAGAGAAACGGTTGCGAGTCGCGAAGGGACAGAGTTGCGTAATAAAAATTTTGTAACGCGAAAAATCATCGAGATCGGAATCTGTTACTTCTTTTCCTTGTTCGGGCATAACGCGAAAGACTGCTCTCTCGATCGGCGATAATGACACGTCGCAGATGCATCGAGATGACGGATAATCGGTCCATCAGAAAGAAAGTCAGTTGTATAAGAAAAACTGTACGATTCGAGAGCCTATGGGTACTCGAATCTTCCTTTCTCTTGCCTTTTCTCGCAGATGTCGCAAGAAGTAAATCTCTCGATCGTTAACGCTTGTCAACGCTAAAAATGCAGGAAACCTGTCACGTTTGAGGAACGACCGTTACCAACGCAACGGTACAATGGGTCGTTTATCGCGGAGCAATTCGCCTCGCGAACGCTGTGGTTTGTTTTAACGATTCCCTTGGGGATCCGTTCGTTTCTCGATCTAGCCACGCGATGCGAGTAGTTATTCGCGACTACTTCGGACAATTACGTTGGAATAATAACCGATCGGGACATGAATCGAGCGTGCTGGGACTGGCTCTCGACCAGTGGCGAATTCTTTCCTCCACCATCGCCGGACCTTTTTATTTCCCTTCCAAGTCCTTCTTTTATTTCCGTTCTAGCGAGGCCCTAGCACGGTTATTCGCTCGTTCCCGTTCATTTCGCGTAATAACAGTAAATTTATTAGTCCTCGG